TTTGCTTACAGTTTAGAACAGTGTTTCACAACCTAGGGGTCAGGGCTCTTGGGGGAGGTCACAAGGGAGTTTCAGAGGGGTCACCAAAGGCCATCAGAAAACACATATTTCTGATGGTCTTAGGAACCCCTTTGGCAGAGAAGGCTGAAGATGTCTCCTCCTGTCCTTCTCTTCCTTTTTGGAAACAGATAATAAACCCTCCCACCAAAAGCCCTCCTCCTGCTCTCTGGATGCAGGTGGACTAACACTCCAAATCTCAAGGTCAATGCCCATCAAACCCTTCCAGTATTTTCTGTTGTTCATGGGAATTCTGTGTGCCAGGATTGGTTCAATTCCATCATTGGTGGAGTTCAGAATTATCTTTGACTGTAGGTTACTATAAATCCCTGCAACTACAACTCCCAAATGACAAAATCAATCACCTCCCAACCACAGCAGTATTCAAATTTGGGCATATCGTGTATTTGTGCCAAATTTAGTGGAGTGAATGAAAATACATCCTGCATATCAGATATTTACATTACGATTTATAACAATAGCAACATTACAGTTATGAAGTAGCAACATAAATAATGTTAGGGTTGGGGCTCCCTACAACACGAGGAAATGAATTAAAGGGTCACAGCTTTAGGAAGGTTGAGAACCACTGGTTTAGAAAGTTGTTAATCTTCAGGGCAGAAATCTGGCTCTGTAATAGAACTTTTGAAATCTTATTTGAAAATTGGGATTCTTTTGCTTGATTTTGCAGCATGGTGTGGTGGCTTGAGTGTTGGACTATGATGCTGGTGATCATGATTCAACTTCCCACTCAGTCATGGAAACTCACTGCATGGGCTTCTGCAAGTTACACTCTCTCAGTCACAGAGGAGGACAAACTCCCGCTGAACAAATCTTGCCAAGAAAACCCTGTGACAGATTTTTGGCCACTTTCTTTTAAGTCCCAGTTGCTAGCTTTGACCTTAAACTCCAAACAGCACATCATTCTAGAACTCTTTTCTAGTTACAGAGGCTTTTCTTCATGCCTCTCTTTCATCTGATGTGCAGCAACTGAATATCCAAAAGAAAGAATTGGAAACTTGGAGAGAACAATGGTTGAACAGGAGGGCAGAGGTTTCTCAGTTATAGATTATGCAACAGTCTTCCCAGGCAGATACATCTTACTCCAGTGCATTATATCTTAAAAAGACAGTGAAGACAATATTTTTCTATGCGTTTTTCATTACATAATGTCTTTTTAATTACATTTTAAAACAATGTCTATTTTTAATAGAACTTGTTCTATTAGATTGCTGTGTTGTGATTTTGTTGTTTTAAGGTATTAAGCACAACGGAACATCGATGTCTTTCAATCCTTGCAGAAGGCAGACAGGGAGGGTGCTAGCCTGATCTCCTTGATGGGGAGCCACGACTGAGAAGGCCCTCTCTCGTCCCCACTAGATGAGCTTGAGACAGAGGTGGAAGCGAGAGAAGAGCCTTCCCAGAGGATCTTAAAGAGCATGTGGGCTTGTAGGGGAAGATGCGGTCATGAAGATAAGCAGGTCCTGAACTGTTTACAGCTTTATAGGTGATGATCTGCACCTTGAATTGGGACCAGAAACTTGATGTTAAATATATGGCACTAATGTCCAGATATTACAAGTATAAGCAACTGTGGCAAGTCTAGGGGCTATTTTTATGTCGTGAGACACTTCAGGGTGAACACTGTACCTATCCTGAGCTTAAATTAGATCTGGAATAAAGAATATGCTTGCTACCAGATGTTGGTGGACATTAACATCCATCATCCTTCTCCATTGGTTAGGGCTACTAAGAGTTGGAGTCCAACAATATCTAAGGGCAGGTATTTCTCACCATTAAAATATAACACTGAACTGTTTTTGTGGGTTTTTTCGGGCTATAGAGCCATGTTCTGGCTCTATAGCCCGAAAAAACCCACAAGAACCTAGTGATTCCAGCCATGAAAGCATTCGACAATACACTGAACTGTTTTCATTGACTAGGATAGTACGTCTTGCAAAACTGAATTGGCCAAATCATGCTACACAACGAATTTTACTTTAATTGACTTGTTTAAACCTCTCCAATATTTGGCAAGGAAAAAACATCTCACAAAGCCAATCTAAGTGTCACGATGAATCTTTGGAAAGGTCTGTAAATCCTGACTAGTAAGTTTCCTCAATAATTTATATTATTAGTAGAAATAAGGTTAAGAGTAAATGCAATTTAATATAAAGGGCTAGCAGCAGAGTAGGATTTAAGACTATTGATCCACCTATGGTGTTTAGAAGAGGTAAATGGAGACTGGAGAAGGACAAGATATCTATCTGGAAACTGGCCAAAGGCTAAATACCGGAGAGGATTAACTCAAAAACCAATAAGCTCTGCAAGGTCAGTGTCAGCAAACAAAGGAGGAGGTCAGGATTTAGAAAAATCATGCAGGAAGCTAAAGGAGATCCAGGCTGCCCAGAGGCAAGTCCCAAGACTCAAAACCGATGACAGACAACAAAAATGTTTCTGTGTAGGAACCGAGAGACAGCAAAAGAATAGACTTCAGGGCTTGATATTAGGTTTGTGATGTAAAATGAAACAAATAAATAGATTTTGAGCTGAAACAATGTTAGTGAATGCTCAGGTGGCAGGAGGCTGCTTACTGAAAAACAAATATGCTACAGCTATTCTGTGCTGTTTTTCCTTATCTAGTTCTGCAGCAATATAACAAAATCATTCAGCAATGCCAAGTCATACAAAGCTGGGGATTTATTGTTCTCATTTTTGAAATTAGCTTCTTTGAACTGGATCCTATATTTTGAAAAAATATATAAAAGGGCAGGGGGTTGTTGGGTCAATTTTAAGAAAAGTGCTTATGTGTATATGGATGAAAAGCTTGGGGAAGACTACATATAGTTCCCCTTAGAAAACATATACAAATCACTTTGGGGTGCTCTGTACTAGCACTACTACTTCTACTACTCATCAGCAGCAGCATCATAGGCGATCCCTCGTGGCTATAATTGCCTTGCAAATGTAGGGTCTTGGCAGTGGATCTGTAGGTGACTGTAGAGGCATATTCTTGATCTGCATGTTCTTTCACACTGAGAACATTGGTTTCCAGATGGAAGGTGGTCCCAACAAGGGTTGGCTTGACATGTTTCTCCCTTTCACCCTTCATTTGTATCTTTTCAAATTCCACAGCACTGTTGGTAACAGCTGCCCTCTAGTTAGAACGCTAAAGGGCCAGGGCTTCCCAGTTCTCAGTGTCTATTCCAGAGTTTTAAAGGTAGGTTAGGCTTTAAGCCTATATTTAAATCTCTTTTCCTGTCCACCAACCTTCCATTTTCCATTCTTGAGATGGTAGTAAAGTTAGTACTGCTACTAGTACTACCACTGAGGGTGCATCCATACTATAACATTCCTGCAGTTTGATATCATCTTAACTGCTACAGCTCAATACCATGGAATCATGGGACTTGTAGTTTTACAAGGTCTTTAGCCTTCTCTACCAACGAGTAGTGTTGCACCACCAAACTACACATCCCGGGATTCCATAGCATTGATCCCTCACAGTTAAAGTGATGTCAAGATATAGGAATTTTATAATGTGGATGCACCCTACAACTGCAGACGACTAGAGGCCTGCTAGCATAAATTGTTGGTTTAAATGCCATTCATGAGGCAGGATTTGGTTCGACCTTCAGCCAGGCTGTCACTGTTCAATAGTTAGTTCTGATATTATGGACAGCCTATAGTTTGGTTATAACATTCATATTTTTCTGGCTTCCATTGCATCCCATCCTACAACTGTATAAATATTCTTTATAAGCTCACTCTTTAATATCATTTGTAACCCATTTGAAAAAAGTGGGGTTTATATCCTCAAAAGCCATTAGTCTTAAAAAGTGCAGCCACATTCCATTTTTTTCCTTCCTGGCCCTTGTTCCTTTTCATGTAGATGGATCCATCACTTTGCTTTGCCTAGTTTACATTGTACTAGAGCTTCAGTGGGAGAAAAAGAAATTACGTGATTTCTGAAGTCACCTCTAACTCGGGTGGAGATCAAAATAATAAATTTGGAACCAGAGAAAGGGACAGCAGGTACTGAACATTGATTTTGAAGTACAGCATAGTAGTTTGAGTGTTGGATTATAATTCTGGAGAACAGGCTGGTAGTAAAGTTAGTACTTCTACTAGTTCAAATCATCACTCAGCCATGAAAACTCATTGGGTAACCTTGGGCAAGTTGCACACACTTAGCTTCAGAAAACCTCATTATAGGTTCACCTTAGGACAGCCGTAAGCCAGATATGACTTAAAGGCAAACATCAACAATAAGGATACAGGGTCTGTGTCAGGGTTCTTGACTTGCAGATCAGCTACTTTCCCCCTTTTCTAGTATCGATTATTATTTGCAAAACAACAACAAAAATACAAGAAATGTGTGGTGCTCTCTCTCCCCGCAAAATAAAAAAATAAGTGCAGCAGACCCCTTTCTCATCACCTGACGATCATATAACAACATGCTAAACCTGTACAATTACATTTATAGTTTGAGCACTGTAGCTTTTCTGAAAGTGTAGAGATCAATATAGTTTTGTGACTGTACAGATCAGGAACTGGATGCAGCAACATCTTAACTATAGCATACATAACAAGAGAACATCCTTGTGATATATGGTATTTAGTGCTTGCTCTAATAACTAACTCCATATGCAGACAGAATTTGAGTCAAACTAAGGCCATGAAAAACAAGATGAACAAAACTGAAGTAGCACTACTGAAACTATCTCATAGTGGGCTGAAGTCTCCATTGATCAACTATCTATCTATTTTTGGGCACAGGACCTCAACTACAAGTTATGGTTTTTGCAATAATGTTTCTACTCACTTGTATTACAGTTCACATCTTGGACAATAAAAATGGCATTGTACTCACACTTAACAAATGGATTTTCTATGAGGCAATAATTTTATTTTCATTCTATTTTTAGTATTTTTTTTCTTACCTTGAAAAACACCTCAGCTTTCTTAGGCGTATTTACATTTTCATTTTCCACACTTGCACGTTGAGTCCTAAAGGAAAATAGCCATTGCCTCCATACTGACAGGTCATAAAAAGGCATGTTTCTGAATCCAGTTCCACAGTCAGCTATCTTTGAAAAATGGCACCAGCCTTAAAGAAATCCACCTTAAACCTGGACACTGAAAGATTAATAATAAGATTAATTTTCCTTTGTAACAAGGGAACAAGGATGCGACTCTCATCTCCAGAAGATTGCTTGATCTTTCTTGCACTGCTTATTCTTGTGATGGCAAGCAGGATGATCTCCATGTAGCAGTTCCTTTTTTAGTTCACAAAGTATTTGTTCTTTACTCCAGCTTTGTACCTAAATCTTGAGTGCATGTTTGAGATCAAGATTATTACAAAATTTGCTGTTTGACTGTCGAATCTCAGATGAAGCCTCTAGAAAGACATTTAAACTTCAAATAGCTCTTGCAATTAGTGCGGAGTGTCAAGATTCACGGTATAATTAACTGGGGTTTACATATAGCCTGGGACAGACTGGATTAGGCAGAAGATGACACAGTTCAATTTAGACCAGTGGTATTTGTCAGTTGATTGAGCAGATGGTGTTTCACTAATCCTTTGAATCTAAATGAAAATTCCATATTAGCAGAAGAAGCAATCACTTCCACAGATTTCAGGTGGATTACTAGGAACTCTCTGATTTTCTCTTGAATAGCAGAAAAGGCATCTATTTCTTTCAATAAGACCTGATTAACTGGTTGCGTTCAACATTGTATTGCATACATTCATCATTTGTGAGAGCAGAATACAGAATAAAAACTGGAGGTTAAATTGCTATCACCGATTCATTCATTAAGCCCTCTTAATCATATGGCCACTTCAGTCTGTCAGCAATACTTCCATAATTATATTTGTGACAAATTGGTGCCCTTCGGTTTCACTCTGTGCTTTCTTGCTTTAATCCAATTACTGCAAAGAGTCTTTCATAGATTTTGTCTCATGCTGTAAAATCCCTGTTTGCTCAGCTTTTGAGAATGAATTATTACATTTGTGCATTTTTATATATTGTATTGTATGAGAGCCAGTGTGCAAAAAGAGAGCCAAACTAAGAAACAGAGTCCAACTAAACGTTACACCACTTGTCCAAATAGTTGGAAACTGGGTGGGTGGGCGGCTTGGGATAATATGTCTTCTGACTGTCCCAGTTTGACAGGGAGGGTGGTGATTGACTTTAAAAGTGGATGGCCTTAAAATTGGGCCCCTGGTCTCGTGAATAGAGAATACCACCTTCCTGAACTTATTGAATGGGTATTTCAAACATGAGAGATTCCCCAAAACTACAACTCTCCCATAATTATCTTCCACAGAAGAGATATCAATTAATCAAACAGATAGATGAGTTTTCTCCAGCCTGGTCCCCTTGGAGGTGTCCTGAAATATATGTTGTTTCCAGATGAATATGTTGTTGTCTCAGCACATCTGGAGGATATAAAATTGGCAGGTGGTTGGGCTGGATGGCCCACGAGGTCTCGTCCAACTCTATGATTCGAAGGCACAACAATGGGTTAGCATCTTTAATACTACATAGGAGGGACTTATAAATATATGCTTTCATGTCTCTGTTCCACCAAAGTGTATGTGCTTAAGCTGTTTATGGCATATATGCATGCACAGAAGAGACCATGCATACATGTAGAGTTTTGAGATCAGAGCCAGTCCTATCATTAGGAAGTGGGAGGCAGTTGTCTGGGACCCCTTCCACACAGCTGAATAAAATTCCACACTATCTGTTTTGAACTGGCAGTGTGCTCAGATAACCTAGTTCAAAGCAAATATTGTGGGTTTTTCTTTCTCAATATTCTGGGTTATATGGCTGTGTGGAAGGGCCCTCAGGCATCACATTGTGATGCCACAAAAGGACCAGTCTGCTCCCGACCTCTGATGCTCCAAAATGGTGAAAGTTTTTTTAAAGTCTTGGAAAATAAGAGTTGTGGTTTGACAACAAGCTCTATGGTTTGAAACCTCAGAACCTAGAATCCCAAGGCCTCTTCCACACACTGAATAAAATCCAACATTTTCTGGATTGTTGTAGGTTTTTTTGGGCTATATGGCCATGTTCTAGAGGCATTCTCTCCTGACGTTTCGCTTGCATCTATGGCAAGCATCCTCAGAGGTAGTGAGGTCATTTTCTGCTTGAACTGGAAGGAATATGTGACAGTGTGGATTCAGATAACCCAGTTCAAAGCAGATATTGTGGGATTTTCTGCCTTGATATTCTGGGTTATATGGCTGCGTGGAAGGACCACAAGAGCTTCTCAACTAATAATTATCTGAATGCTTTCCACTCTAATGGTTACAATAAAATTGAATTAAGAAATAATTAATCTGAATTTGTTAAAACCTTTAAATTTTGCCATCTATATACAAGGATTTGAACTTTAGCTGTATTTTTTTCTTTTTTTTTAAAGTCAAGTAAGTTCTGTGAATTACATGGATATATTATGTTATCTTGACCTTTTGCTTATTCTTTGTTTTCAGAGGATTCCATTCTCTTTCTTTTCTAGCAGCTAATACTGAAGAGGAAAAGCAATAAAAGCCAGTTAAAAATTGTAAAGGTCAAGTAGTACAAGTATACCATATAACTGCAATTTTCAGAAATATAAACATATGATCTTTCATTTGCTTTACAAAAAATAAAGGAAAAATTGGGTCTTTGAAGCCACCTAAATGTTTTTTTTTTAAAAAAAGTATTATATTCCTTAAATGTTATTGATCACTTACTTTTTTTCAACTTTGGCTTTGAATTCTTATTTGTAAAGATAATTCTACATTAGCTTTGAGTGCATAAAGTGTTCTATGGCTCCTTTTTATCCACTACTATTTATTTCTGCCAAGACCATTCATCACTAAGAAAAATTAAGAACCACCTTTATGCTCTTGCTGCAAGAAAAGAAGTTTGAGGAAACAATTCCAAGATCTTGTCGAAGGCTTTCATGGCCGGAATCACTGGGTTGTTGTAGGTTTTTCCGGGCTGTCTGGCCATGTTCTGGAGGCAATTTTTCTCCTGACGTTTCGCCTGCATCTATGGCAAGCATCCTCAGAGGTAGTGAGGTCTGTTGGAAGTAGGAAAAAATGGGTTTATATATCTGGAATGACCAGGGTGAGACAAAGGACTTTTGTCTTCTGGGGCTAGCTGTGAATGTTTCAGCTGATCACCTTGATTTGCATTCAATGGCTTGGAAGCACGTGGGGGGAATCTTTTGTTGAGAGTGATTTTATGTGCCTGGTTGTTTCCCCTCTGTTGTTTTGCTGTTGTAATTTTTGAGTTTTTTAATACTGGTAACCAGATTTTGTTCATTTTCATGGTTTCTTCCTTTCTGTTGAAATTGTCCACATGCTTGTGGATTTCAATGGCTTCTCTGTGTAGTCTGACATGGTGGTTGTGAGAGTACTCCAGATTAAAAGCAGATTAAAAACACGTTATATAAGAGACAAATTAAAAAGATAAAACAGACTAAACTTACAG